CATAATGCCATGGACCGAGTATTATAACGGAGCAGTGTGAAAGAACCCTTGACTCTACAAGAACAATCAGAAATTCTCCAAGTAGACAAGGGGTAAGGGGTGTGTTCCAGGCAGAGGAATTTGAGAATTATAAATAGTTCAACAGCTGGAACATTGGAATTTGGAGTCCCCCTGGTAAGAGAAAGCTGGCAAGATCATGAAGAATTTTTTTCCTGCTAAGTAAAAAGTGTTTTGGCTTTATCCTATAGCAAAAGGGACATTACCAAACAGTAACTTTGCCTTTTAGAGGGATATGCAAGATAGGTTTGAGAAAAGAAATAGTAAGAACTAAACTAAACATTGACATTGGAGTTTCAGAGGATGTTTCAAGAGCAGAGGTAAAATATGGACAGGATCTGATTATGTGTGTTATGAAATAAACAGGGATGTTAGGCATGACCCACATGATAGGTTCTGAAAGCAAAGGTAGTGATTTCTGTTTTCAGCATGTTGATTTGGGTGCTGTGGGGGACATCCAAGTAAACACGTGCAGCATGTGCAGCGGATGGTTAGAAATATATTTGGAGCTCAGGAGAGATGCTGTGAAGACCTGTTAGAATATAGGCGATGTCATAAACTGTGGCCCTGCATACTGTCAGCCAGGAAACATATATGGACTGAATCAATGTAGGTGGAAGTACAAGTAACACCAACATCTATGGAAAAAGCAACAGGAGCCCCAAAGAAGGTCAAAGAAAGAATATGAAGAGCAGCATGTGGTGTCATGGAAGATGAGGTGGAAGAAGATATTAGGGAGGGAGGGGGAAAGCAATAGTGGCAAATGCTTCCACATTCCAGAAAAATACAGACTGAAAGATGTTAATTTGATTTAAACAATAGGAAATTATTAGTGATTTTGTTGAAGGTGCTTTCACTGGAGTGTCATAGGGGGAAATGCATGTCTGAGTTTATAGGATTGACATGGAAAAAATATGACAGGATGTTTGTGCATATAAATAAGACTTGAATTGCCTAAGATGTATATTTAGAAAATAAGAAACCAATAAAGGCGACAAAAGGGGCACATAGAAGACTATAGCAAAGAGGAAATAACTATTCAATCATTAAAAAACATACATTTATAATAAAATTAATGAATATCTAAGCAGTTTTCTGTTCTTTTTTGGATGCAGGTTTTAAGAAAGGCATTTCAACGTAGGGAAAGATTCACTAAATCACACCTGAGGAAGACATCAGCGAAGGATCATTGAGGCCTAACTACGGCATATAGGACTCTGCCAGAGAGCTGCCATCCAATCAGCCACTGTATTTCTTTTGATTGAAGCATTTAATCATTTGCATATCAAGTAATTGTTAGTAGATATGTATTTCTGAATTTAGAAAGACCTTGTTAGCTTCTGCAATTCCAAGACTCACTCCTACTGTCAGATAAACGTATAACTTTTAGAAATATTTTCTTTAAAATACAACACAAAGGCATCAAAAAGACACCAGGCAAATTTCAAGAGAATCATTTCTCATGAGTTCGCGAAACCTCTACTGCCTTTGTACATAAGTATCACCGTCATAGCTGAGTGATTATTATGAATGTCCTAAATGCTTTATATACATTTTTTCATTTATGAATGAAAAAAGTAAAATTTCTATTGAGCTTCAGTACCTTTCGGTCACATAATTAATAGAATGACGATTTATCTCTTTAATTATTTATTTAAATATATTTTAATTGATTTCAGAGATGAAGGGAGAGGAAGAGGGAGACAGAAACATCAGTGATGAGAGTCATTGATCGGCAGCCTCCTGCACGCCCACAACCCGGACTGGTAATCAAACCATGACCTCCTGGTTCATAGGTCGACACTCAGCCACTGAGCCACTCTGGCCCAGCAGAATGACAAGTAATTTAAATCCAGGTTTGTCTGGTTCCAAAGCCTGTGCTCTTAATTATCGCACTCTATTATCACACAATTTGGACTAGTTGATTATCAGAAAGAAAATACAAATTAACTCTTGGTTCCAAGAGGAAAAAAATAATAGAAAGTTGATAATTAATGTCAGTTAGCTTTCTTCGAAGATAAGATGCCCCGATGAAATCCATGAATACTGCTTCTGGCCAGTAGCAGCCACTGCTTTTCCCAAGGGAAATCTAGAAGGAAGTGAAAAGAGCTTTTATTCTATTGGTATCTCACTATTCAAAGACAGGGCTCACGGTATGTCATCTCTGGTTCTAATCTCTTTTTCTTTCCAACACCCCCTTTTTTAGGGTAACCTGCTGCTATTTCTTCCTGTTAACCTTGGCTTCAGTATGGCACCTTCCTTTTTACCCAAATTTTGTCCTGGTAATTATATAGTGTTTTTAATGGTGATTTATTTAGAAAAACCTCAGTATTTTTTTTATACCATGTATAAACCAATTTTAATCAGCAATAAAACTTTAAGATGGCTTTATTAGCATAAGGGAAGTTATAGGTAGTTACTTATTTGAGAAATTTGTTGTGTCTAAGGTTTTTATTAGGTTAGAAAACAGAACCTGGAATGCTTGCATGTATAAACTTGCAAATCCAACTATCTATACCAGGGATTGAAAAACTATGGCCCATGGTCCAAATATGGCCAGGCTCTATTCTTGTAAATAAAGTTTTATTGCAATATGCTCACAGAATTTGTTTACATTTTATCTATGGCTCCTTTTGTGCTACAACAGTGGTATTGAGTAGTTGCAAAACAAACCCTATGGTCCACAAAGCCTAAAATATTTACTATCTGGTCCTCAGTGAAAAAGCTTGCTAATCCTGGGCTACACCATCAGTAGACCTGAGTCTCCATGTCTTGTATCTCTAACATTAGTTGCCCTGAAAGCCAACAGCACATATGTTGGGATTTTGTGATGGCAGTCCCTATAGTTTTGGCACTAAGATTTTTTTTATTGATTAAATCACTATTAGCTACTGCTATAATATAAGTAATGGGGTTAAAAAACCCTTGCTGTAATTGAATTTTCTTTTGGACAATGTAAGGAACAAAAGAGGTGTTCCTGATCACACTACATGCAGTGACGCAGGAACTGATGCTCTTTTCACATTGTGGGTCAGGCATCTTCAACATATGCCTCCCATGTTGGCCAAAGGGAAAAGAAAGAAAGATCATGGGGGGGGTAGTGCATGCCCAGAAGGGCTGCCAATCACTTTATCCAGATTCCATTGGTCAGAATTCAGTCCTGGGCCTCAACTGTGCAAGGTAACCTAGAAAATATAGACTAATTGTGTCCTAGAGAAATAGAAGCAGGTTTGGTGAAAAGCTAGCCAGTCACAGAGGCCTTCTCTAGACAATATTTACATGTCTTCATATTCAATAGGATGTGATGAGATAAGAGACAGGAGTGGAGGATGTCTTCTAAACTTTTAATGTGGGAAACAATTCAGGTGGTTATAAATCTACAGTAGTTAGGGAATATTGAAGGAGAAACAAGATTGGAGAGAGGGGAATAATTACAAAAATAATAAATTCCATTTTAATGCATGATTTTTAAAACACTTTAGGTCTTCAAACTAGAGGTGTCTACCATGCGTGTAACCTAGACATACAGATTTTTGATCCTTCAAACTGTAAATAGTATGTGCCAGTAAAGGTCATGAGATTGACATGTGACAGCACATAAATAGGAAAACAGAGCCATAAACACAAAAGCACTGTGTGTAATATAATATCTGCCTCAGTACAAAGTAATAGAAACATGGAGATGAATAAAACGGTCGTTGCCTTCAAGAAGCTCAAAGTTGGGTAGAAATAATCTAGAAAATTTATATCTGTTTAACAATGTTCTTTATTTTTCAAGTTTTATATCATGACTATGTATTAAATAGACTTAAAATTAGTATATACCATTTCTGTATACTGATCACAATTAGATAATTATATGTGTCCTCTCCCCCTCTTCTTTCACCCCATATATGCAAAGGCAAACACACCAAAAACAANAATGGGGTTAAAAAACCCTTGCTGTAATTGAATTTTCTTTTGGACAATGTAAGGAACAAAAGAGGTGTTCCTGATCACACTACATGCAGTGACGCAGGAACTGATGCTCTTTTCACATTGTGGGTCAGGCATCTTCAACATATGCCTCCCATGTTGGCCAAAGGGAAAAGAAAGAAAGATCATGGGGGGGGTAGTGCATGCCCAGAAGGGCTGCCAATCACTTTATCCAGATTCCATTGGTCAGAATTCAGTCCTGGGCCTCAACTGTGCAAGGTAACCTAGAAAATATAGACTAATTGTGTCCTAGAGAAATAGAAGCAGGTTTGGTGAAAAGCTAGCCAGTCACAGAGGCCTTCTCTAGACAATATTTACATGTCTTCATATTCAATAGGATGTGATGAGATAAGAGACAGGAGTGGAGGATGTCTTCTAAACTTTTAATGTGGGAAACAATTCAGGTGGTTATAAATCTACAGTAGTTAGGGAATATTGAAGGAGAAACAAGATTGGAGAGAGGGGAATAATTACAAAAATAATAAATTCCATTTTAATGCATGATTTTTAAAACACTTTAGGTCTTCAAACTAGAGGTGTCTACCATGCGTGTAACCTAGACATACAGATTTTTGATCCTTCAAACTGTAAATAGTATGTGCCAGTAAAGGTCATGAGATTGACATGTGACAGCACATAAATAGGAAAACAGAGCCATAAACACAAAAGCACTGTGTGTAATATAATATCTGCCTCAGTACAAAGTAATAGAAACATGGAGATGAATAAAACGGTCGTTGCCTTCAAGAAGCTCAAAGTTGGGTAGAAATAATCTAGAAAATTTATATCTGTTTAACAATGTTCTTTATTTTTCAAGTTTTATATCATGACTATGTATTAAATAGACTTAAAATTAGTATATACCATTTCTGTATACTGATCACAATTAGATAATTATATGTGTCCTCTCCCCCTCTTCTTTCACCCCATATATGCAAAGGCAAACACACCAAAAACAAATATCTAAAATCTTATAATATCTAAGAAAGTTAACAGCAATGTTTAACTTCTCTTTTATATTTTAAATATCCTGAATTTTTATAAGAGCATGAATCATTGACACAGTGGTAAAAACTTTATTTTGATAAAATATTCAGAAATTGTTTTAACAAAATAAACAGAAAGCATAATTAAATATATGAGAGCACGTAATGAAACTCATCAAAATACACAGTGTCTTAATAAAAGTCAGCAGTCGGGCCAGAAAGAACTATGGTAAGATTGCCAGAAAAACTGAAAATAGCTTTGTTACTCTCAGGATATGAAACAATATAAGCAATGCCTTTTGCAATATTTCCTGCAATAAAAGAAATCTGTTTTAATTGTTCCTTGGACATCTGGATATATAAGAAACCTTTGGGGTGCCAAGTTAACTTGATTTTAGCTAAATTATGATCAGTAACAGAAACATTTTAATTACTCTTTATATTTTTAAGAAGATTTATGTACAAATCCATCTTGTGACACAGAATATTTCTTCTTTCATAACATTAAAGTCCTTTAACTGAAAATAACGGCTGTAATTCAAAATGTCCATGGGATGTGATCTGGTATTGGTTCATTCTGTCAATCCACTGGGAAATCCAAAGACTACATTTGTTTTTACAATTGCAACTTTTGCTTTAGCATCTCGGAACCTTTCATAAGCTTTTTGAAAGGCAATCATATCAAAAACAAATTTTTCTTCAGCATGTCTTTTATATATATTTTGAGCTCTAAGAGGAAAAAGGAAAGGTAATAGAATGAGATACTTTTAAATTACTAAAATCATAACACTTAGTTAATGATAGATATATTCAAAATAAGATACATACAAATCAGAAAAAAAAGACAGAACTTCACTTGTTGCATAGAATCTTATTATATTCACTAATATGCATTTTAGGCTATTATTTCTACAATTTCTGTTGGCTATAATAGAATCCATAAAAACCACGGCTTAGATTCCCAAAGAGGCATCTAAACCAGACTACGCTATGATTTGCAGAAATTTTACTTAAGCCTCACTAAATCCAAGCTTCTTCTAGGACTCTGTGTTTTTTAATTTTTTTTGTTTAATCTCTTCACTTTTTTCCCCTAGCCCCGCAACTGCCCTTCCCTCTGACATCTGTCAGTCTGCTCTCTGTGAGTCTGTTTCTCTCTTGTTTGTTAGTTCATTTCTTCATTAGATTCCACATATGAGTGAGATCATATGGTACTTGTCTTTTTCTGACTGGCTTATTTCACGCTGCATAATGCTCTCCAGGTCGATCCATGCTGTCCTTCTTTTTGACACCCTAGTAGTGTTCCATTGCTTAGGCCTCTGTTACTGACTGAACTGTGTCCCCTCCAAATTCATGTATTGAAGTCCTAACACCCAGTAGCTTAGAATGCAACTGTATTTGTAGAATAGGTCCTTTAAGAGGTAATTAATTTTAAATGGGATCATATGTGTGAGATCTAATCCAATATGAGAAGATGAAGAGACACCAAATATGTGCACACACGGGACACAATGAGAAGGCAGCCACCTACAAACCAAGGACAGAGGCCTGAGAGAAACCAAACCTGTCACCACCTTGATCTTGGACTTCTAGCTTCTAAAACTCTGAGAAAATAAATTTCTGTTTGAACCACCCCATCTGCAGCATTTTGTTATAGCAGCCCTAGCAGACCAATACAGACTCTAAATTAGAGAAAGATGAACCAGGTTACACTGTCAAACCTGGAAATGCCATGGGCCTTAAATGAATTCATTCATTCTTCCTCATTCATTCAGTAGTTACATATTATAATGTTTGTCACATTCCCTAGATGCTAGAAATACCAAGATACATATGATATGACAATGAAAAGCTTGTAAAAAGTAAACAGAAATAGTTATTTAAAAATAGAAATAAAATGCAATAGTACCATAATGAAAGTACTATGTAACAAGACAGAGTGAAACATGATGAAAACATTAGTAACTAATCTAGGGAACAGGCAGGGGGAAGAAAAGAAAGGATTCAGGGCCAAAGTAGAAGCAAAGAGGGCAGCACAGCGTGGCACGCCCAGAGTGACAGCACTCTGTCTGTCTGGGTCACGCAGTTCTGGGAGGACGGTAGAGCAGATACGCCTAGAAAAATACAGACTAGCTCATGGTGTTCTTTATCTGTGTTTAGAGGAACTAAAAATCTGGATTTGGGGAGTGAAAAAGAAGCCTATATCTACAAAGTCTAAAAATTGCTTACTATGTGATTTAGCACAAGTTATTTATATTCTCTCTACCTCATTTTCTTCATCTTTAAAAGGGGGATAATCCAAATCATCAGATTTAGTAAAAGACTAAATGAATTAACACATTTTAAATCCTTAGAGGAGTGCCTGACATTTAATCATTCTTTTTTACTGGGTAGATAACAGTGGTATTCATCAGGACAAAAAAAAATGTAGGAACAACAACTAGATGGGGGAAAAGATTAGAGTTCTGTTTTTGTAAAATTTAATTTATAAAGCCTGGCTATCCATGTGGTGACGCCAAGAGAGCTGAATACAGAGAAGCAATGGCTTGTGGTTAAGAGTACAGGCAGTGAAGCCATTCTGCTTGAGTTTGAAACCCAGATCTGCAGCCTATTGATTGTATGATGTTTAAGAAGAGACAATTCACCTCATAGGGGTTAGTGAGAAGTAAATGACCTAATATGTTTAAAATATTTAGCGGGCCAGGCAGGGCGTGGCTCAGCAGTTGAGCGTTGACCTGGGATCCAGGAGATGGAGGTTCGATTCCCGGCCAGGGCACATGCCGGGGTTGAGGGCTCGATCCCCAATGACTCTCTCATCATTGGTGTTTCTATCTCTCTCCCTCTGCTGCCCTCTCTCTGAAATCAATAAAGATATATAGATATATATAAAAATAAAATAAAATAAAATAAAATAAAATAAAATAAAATAAAATAAAATAAAATAAAATAAAATAAAATAAAATAAAATATTTAGCAGAATGCCTAGAATTTAACAATCACTCATTGAAAATTAGTTACAACTATTGTGTCTGGAGCTCGGAAGAATAATCTTTTATTTTTTAAGATTATTTTTTTCTATTTTTTTATTGATTTTAGAGGCAGAGGAAGAGAGAGGGAGAGATAGAAAGAAACATCAATGATGAGAGAGTCATTGACTGGCTGCCTCCTGCACGCCCCCTACTGGGGATCAAGTCTGAAATCCAGGCATGTGCCCTGACCAGGAATCAAACTGTGATCTCCTGGATCATAGGTCGATGCTCAACCTCTGAGCCATGCTAGCTGGGCTGAAGAACAGTCTTGTCTGGACATGTAACAATGTAAAAGTCATGGCAAAAGGAACTTTGCACATGTAATTAAGGGCACTAAAAAGTCTAAATACTGTACTGAAATTGCCCTTCTACACATAATAATTATAAACTGTGGAAAAAATGTAAAAAAAAAAAACCCAAAACCCAACTGTTTAAAAGAATTGAAGAGAAACACAATGATTATAATTATGTAGTATACCAAGATCACACAATTGGAAAGTAAAATTATGAAAGAAATTCCATTTACAATACCATCAAAAAAATCCTATAAAACACTTAGATATAAGCTTAACAAAAATATGCAAGGCCTGTCTTTGAAGAATACATGTGGTAAAAGTAAAGGAAGAGTTAAAAAAAAAAAAAGATTTTAGCCATAAGTAAGTATGGAAGAGTTTCAAATTTAAGAGGTAAGGCAGCTCCAAGTGAGTTTAAAGGTTGTTGGGATCCAAAAGTGTTTAGGATAGGCAACTGAAAGAGTTGTTCTTATGAATTTGGAAGCTAACTGTGATTATGGTAGACCTTGGATGAAGCAAAGCTTTATAAATCAAGGTAAGACCACAGTGAGTGAGGAGGATAGTGTAGGAGGTCCAATGATGACTAAAATAAATAAAAAAAGTAGAGACGATGTAATTGGATAACTGCCTTATGTGCCATATCTTCAGGCTAATTAATACTCAACTTCAAATGGAAACCCTGCTGTTCTGCCTTGAGCAATATCATTGCTTTTTCAAAGTATGGGCAGGAATATTTTGGAAAACTTATGACCTGCTTTTACCTGGTATGTAAGTTCTTTCATTTCAAAGTCTCTTTTTAATTCATTCTTAAATGCCCCTGTGGGTATTTTATCAATTTCCTAAACTAGAGATTTATGGTTGCCCTTTCTTCTTTCATTCTTCCTTATGCAGCAGCAGGAACAGGGAGCTACTGTCTCAGTAATGACTTCACTAGTTATTGAGATTCACCAGAATGCTTTTAGGTCAAGTATTTTAACCAGAAAAAAAAAGAAGAAAAAAAGCATGGAAAAACTCTTAAGTCTCTAGACAGACTTTACTTTTTTGAGTCACATCTCTTTTCTGCATGTTGACACTCTAGCTTTATTTGAAAATATTTATAAATAAAATTCAATAATGCCTTTCAGGATAACACTATACTGCATTATTCTTGGGTGCTTTCAAAGATAATATCTTTGCAGCAGTTTACAAAAGAAGATAATTCAGTTAAGATACATTAGGAAGCTCACTTGACTCTGTATCTTCTACAAATTAATGATGGCCAGACATTCAATTTGTTGTGATAAACTAAGCTAATTAAATTTTTCTAATACCAATTTGCATTAGATATGTGTTTTGATACAAAACAAATCTAAAAATAGAGTTTTTTATTCTCATCTTTGGTAACATATTAGGACATATTTGTCCTTTTGTTGTTGTCATTTCTGTTTTCCAAAGCAGAATATACCATGTTAAAAGTACTGTTTACTAGATCTTGACATTTAGTATGCAATATTCACATGAAATGACTTAAACTCTTCTATTATATCAAAACTGTACCTACCTAAGTTCCTTCATGTGTTTAAGTAAATCCTTTTGATTTTTTTCTGCTTCTCGTTTTTGCTGAACAATCTGGTGTTTCTCTTTTAAGAGAGCTTCTTTCTTCTTCCCTCTGTCAATTCTATTTAGGTTCTTGGTCCAAAAGGTACGCTCATTATTTAAGTTTTGAATTAATAAGCGGTCTTCAGCTTTTTGGTTTTTCCCTTCTAGAAACAAAGCTCTCCTCTCCCTAACTTTTTCAAGGTAGTTGGACCTGTCCTGCCAAAGTTGGCGTAAACCATACTGAACTGCCTTCTTATCTTCTGCCCCTCGCTTCTGTGCAGCCCGTTTTTTCTTAGTTAAAGCTTCTAGAGCCTTTAAGCCACCTCTTTCTTGGGCAGTTTGTGCCATGGTTACAGCTATTACTTTTTTCTTATGGCTTTCCTGCTTCTCTTGTTCTGAGCGATATTTATCAATATCACAAAGTGTTTTGAGTTTTATACCCGTTCTGTGTGTTGTAAAAAACTCTCTTCTTAGATTCTTCTCCAAAAGCTTGTGTGTTTTTTTAATTACTGGTTTTTGGTGAGTGGTAGAATATGGCTGGGTATACGCAGGAAAAGAATCTTGTTCTTTCTCTTTCAATACTTCAGCATACTTCAAGGAGTCTGGTGAACATCTGGGTAATCTGAACACTGATATCCTAAAACCGGCATGCAATTTTTCATCCTCAGTTTCACCTTCTGACTCTTGACCTATATCACACAGCAGACAAATAAAATATATTATACAAGTGTTAACCACAGCTTATTGTTCTGTCTCAACTGTTTTGAAAGATACATTAATAAAATTCACAAGAACCTGTTATTTACTTATATTAAGAAGCATGTTTCCCAACTAATGTTCCTTTTCAATTTGAGATTTAATAGTGATTCTGGAAAGAAAAATCACTATTGAAACATTTTAACACAGAAATGCACTGATTCCTGTATTTCCTGCATTATCCTTTTCAATTATTTAACTTGCACTGACTCAATAGCAGTATCTTATACTTATCCCTACATACCATTTATACATATAGTTATCTCATATTTGCAAAGAAATTTTAATCTGTTTTACCTTGTTGTTTTATTGTTTGTTTTGTAACTCTCATGGAAACTAATAACTGCCATCAACATTGTTTTTCCCTTCATTGGGCACACAAAGGAACCAAATCTCTCAGCCTCCTTTGCTACTACTGTGACCATGAGACCAAGTCCTCTCCAATAGCATGTGGGCAGAGTGATATGTGTCATTTCTGGTCCATGACTATTAAGGAACAAATGTACCTCTCCTCCTCCTTTCTTCTTCTGATCCATTGCAGAGATAAGGTCCTACAAGATAGTAGATATACAAGGTGGGAGGGCCCTGGCTCCCTGAATCACTACTTGAAAAACTACTCACTGATAAGGATTATATAACTCCCACTCTATGGAAGCCAGAAATAAATGGCAATTATATTTGTGTCAATATATACACTTCTGGGTCTATCTGTTATCATAGCCAACCTAATTAACATAATAACTTGAATCACATTGTTCATATATTTATTTTCTGACAAGCCCACTGATGAATTTAGGACCAGGTGACACATACTGGTTAAAAAAGTTATATTGGTTAATCTTAGGAACAGATGTTTCCAATGTTTGACTCTCTATTAAAATTTCATCCTGCTAGCTCTAAGTATTTTATTTTTCTTAATAGAAAATTCTCCTAAAGTCTTTATATCTCAAATCTGATCGTGGCAGTTTTATGGAAGCTAAGGTGATCATGAAAAAGGGCAAGGCTTGTGGTCTAGGCAGGTAGTAGGGAAAAAGAGAATAGGTAGAATTTTCAACAGAGGCCACAGTCATTCAACATTAGAAAAGGAAGCAGTGTTTAGTGCTAAATAGAAGATCAAGTCTAGCAAGTAAAAAAAGAATACAAAGCTAAAGTATCCACAAGTGAGTGTTAAGAGTTTGGGCCCAAAGTAAATCACTAGATATATAGAGGGACAAAGCCAGAGTTTTAGGTCAAGAGTTAATAGGGTACAGTTTTGAGGCAACTACCTAGAAATAGCACTGTTTTGTGTAATTGATTTTATGTGTGAACTTTGGCATGGAAAAGCTGGCCAAGAATAAAAGATAAGGAATAGAAAATGCAACATTAATAAATTTCTAAACGTTCTGGTCACCAATTCTAATTTGCATGGAGGTGGGAGGGTTTTCCCACACAATCATGCAATGCTCCGACACCAGCCTGCTGTCCTACAAGTCAATGCAATCCCGACACTACCTACTTGGAGATATGGTCAGATACCACAGGTTAAGGGTTCAGGCCTATAAGACCGCGCACCCCTGCTTCAGATGCCAATTGTCTTATAGTCATAACAATAGCAAGTCAACTATAGATTAGTGGTTCTACCGATCCCCTCTTATAGTGGCTCACAGAGCTCGGACATTTTATGTACTAGATTTCTGGCTTATTATGAAAGAATATATATAACTCAGGAACAGTCACATGGGAAAGATGCATAGGGCAAGGTATGAGGAAAGACTATGAAGCTTCCATGCCCTCTCTAAGTACTCCACTCGCCCTGAAATCTCTGCTTGTTCACCAACCTTGAAGCTGTCTGAACCCAGGCCCTTTGGGTTTTTAAAGAGGCTTCATTACAGGCATGACTGACTAAATCATTGGCCATTGGCAACTGAACTCAATCTCTAGCCCCTCTCCCATCCCTAGAGGTCAGGGGTGGGACTAAAATTCCAACTCTTTCATCACATGTTGGGTCCCTTGGCAACTGGCCCCTTAGGTGTGATCCAAGGTTTATCTCACTAACAAAAAAGACATTTTGTTGTCCTGCTCTTATCACTTAAAAAAATCCCAAGGGTTTTAGGAGCCCATTTTGGCCTCTCAATAACCTCATGAGGTAAGTATATATAATTGTTATCTTCATTTTCAGATAAAGAAGTTGGAGCTTAAAGAAGTACCAATATGCTGGATTAGATCCTAACATCTGGCTAACATTTTGCTGAACAGAGAAAAAAAGAATGAATAAAAGTAAGTAAATTTCAATAGCCTATTGAAACAAAAATATCAACATTCATAAAAGAATCCAGAGTATCACAACATAACATTGCAATAACCACATATAATCTGAAACATGTCGTGTGAATAAAAATTATAGCACAAAGGATACCATAAAATACAGGAACCATACAACCATATAGGCCACTTAACCTCTTCCTTTCTGTATTTGATGTGAAGTGTTACAGTCTTAAGAAGACTTATAATTCCTAGAGAAAATAAACATAATGCAAATAGATTCAACTAAAAATCCAACAAATAAAGTGGACTAAAAAAATATTTGAACAATTCAAAAGACAGGAAAAAAGAAATAGAGAAACAAAAAACTGAGCAGATGTAACAAAAAAAACAAACCAGAAAACAAATAAAATATTCCTGAGCTAATAGAATTAGTTTCCTTACACAAAGAGACACCAGAGATCCCTTACTCAATCTTTCCATGCACACATACTAAAAAAAGACCATGTCAGCACACATCAAGATCTTGCCATCTACAAGCCAGAAAGAAAGGCCTCAACAGAAGTCACCCATGTTGGCACCCTGATCTCAGACTCCCAGCCTCCAGAACTGTGAGAAAATAAATCTGTTGTTTAAGCCACTCAATCTGTGGTATTTGGTTATGGAAGCCTAAACAGACAAATACAAAAGGAGTACCCTGTCTTCTGAATTTCTAAGCGCATTTCCCAACTGGTGTGCTCCACTTATTTGTCCATTTGTTGGTTGCTTCTTGTATGTGCCTTGACTGGGGATCAACCCCACTGCCTTGGTGTACGGATGGAGACGACTCTCTAACTAACTGAGCTACCTGGTCAGGGCTCACACTTGATGGCACTGTCAGTTAAGACATAGGAAAGGTGAAGCAAAAAGGCTATAGGAAAAATAAACAAATCAAAGATGTCAGAGAGGGGAAAGGTAAAAGAAAGAATAAGTTAATGAGATGAGGAAAGAAGTATATATTAGTTATTTCAAATTGTTCATCCCTCTGCTATACCTAGGTCTTGTAGTGGGACTCTTGACTTCCTTATAAAACACAGACTTTTAAAAAAGTAGTATATTTAAAAGTACATGTATTTTTTAAAATTCTAAAAGAAAACAGGCAGTAAAATCTCAGACAATACCCATAGCAATATATTTGCTGAATTTTCTCCTAGAGCAAGGGAAACAAAGGAAAAATTAAACAAATGGGACTACATTAAACTAAAAAGCTTCTGCACAGCAAAAGAAACCATCAACAAAATGAAAAGGGAACTCACTGTATGGAAGAACATATTTGCCAATGACAATTTGATAAGGAATTAATTTCAAAAAGATATAATGAACTTATACAACCCAACACCAGGAAGACAAACAATCCAATTAAAAAATGGGCAATGGACCTGAATAACACTTCTCCAAAGAGGACATACAGATGGCCGAGAGACATGAAAAAATGCTCAAAGTCACTAATCATCAGGGAGATGCAAAATAAAACTATAATGAGGTATCACCACACACCTGCCAGAATGGCCACCATGGATAAATCACCAAACAAGTGCTGGCGAGGGTGTGGAGAAAAGGGAACCCTTGTGAGTACTGACAGAAAATATTTTTTATCTAACATATCCTCCTCTCCCTAACGATAATGCTCAGGGTCCAGAACTGCTCAGAAGCTTTTTGTTTCTATGTTTTCTTTTTCCTGTTTCTTAAGCAGTGGGCCGAAAAGAGTGTATGTAAACACGAAATGATGCAATTCTGTTTAATTTGGTAAATAGTAAAGTGGCATAAAATAACCCTTTGATAGGTGTCTGTCTTAGTGCCTTAAAATGTCTTAAGTTAGGACTTTTTAAAAAAGTACATAGTCTATCATGTTGCTGTTTAGTGTTCTTTTCATTCAACTTGAAGACCTCTCTTTAGCATTTCTTGTAAGGCACATCTAATGGTGATGAACTTCTGAAGCTGATATCATATTCAACAGTGAAAAACTGAAAGCTTTCCCTCTAATATTAGGAACAAAGCAAGAATGCCACTGCTGTTCCATGCAGCGCTGAAAGTCCTAGCTAGAGTATTTAGACATGAAAAATAAGAAAAGGGCAACAAAATCAGAAAGGAAGTTAAATTGTCCCTATTTGCTGAAGACATAATCTTATATCTAGAAAACTCTAAAGACAGATAATGGTTAGAACTAGTAAATTCAGTAAAGCTGCAGAATAGAAAATCAACATATGAAAATTGGTTTTATTTATTTACATTAACAAAAGAATATCTGAAAACAAATTAAGAAAACCATTCCATTATGACAGCATCAAAACAATGACATTCTTAGAAATAAATTTAACCAAGCTGGTGAGAGCTCTTTACACTGAAAACACTGAGACACTGATGAAAGAAAATGAAGAAGACACAAATAAATAGAAAGATTTCTTGTGAAAGAATCAATATTGTTAAAATGTCCATACTACCCAAAGCAATCTACAGATTCAATGCAGTCTCTATCAAAATCCCAGAGGCATTTTCTTTACAAAAATAGAAAGAAAGAAAAACACCAATTTTATAATTCGTATAAAATCACACAAGACAACATATAGACAAAACAGTCTTGAGAAAAATCAAAGCTAGAGGCATCATGCTCTCTGATTCCAAAATATCTTATAAAGCTACAGTAATTGAAATA